CAGTAGTTGTCTACAGAGACCCCACAGTAGTTGTCTACAGAGACCCCACAGTAGTTGTCTCAAACAATCATACAGTGTGATACAGCAGGACTGGTCTTCTTGCAGGAAGAAGAGGAGGGTGAGGAAGTGAAAGCTGACTGTAAGTGAGCACTGGACAGTTTGTTGCTACCGCTGTCCTTTTTAGCTTCTGATACAAGTAAACAACAAGAGGCCCATGGCCTAAACGGTCATCTGACTAGAATTTGTTTTCCATGATGGTAGTTCTGGTCAGCAGTGGGAAACTATTTGTCAGTAAAGCTATCAGAAAGCATTTAAACCTAAATCTGAATAGATTTCTCCTTTTAAAGCCCCATCCCACAGTTAAACCTGCCTCATTTATATAAGAAATGGTTGTTTCTAAATGATGTTTTATACTGAAATTGTTGTAATCTCCTTTTGGCATTAACGAGGAGCATTTAAAAGCAGGATTTTAGGTAATTTCCTATCTTGGGGCGTCGCCCTCTCTATCACCCAGGGGTCAAACCAGCCTCATTTATTCAAGATCATCCTCCTTCCCCCCCTAATGATATTTTAGACCATATTTGGTTGCATTAGCATCCTCCAATGATGTGACATGAGCATTTACGCGCAGAATGGCAATCGGTGAATGGATAATAAAGAATAGGTGCATTTTATGCTTGTGAAAATCAAATGAAGGATAATTAACAGTAGTGGGAAAACATGCATGGAGAAAAGAGACATTGCACTCATTGAATATACAAAATCTCACAAATGTTTTGGAATATATTTGAATTATATCTCTCAATGCGACTTTACCAACGTAAGAGTTATGTCCCTAACACCGGGTTGGTTAATATTTTGACACGGCGCGAATTCTTGTCAAACAGCAGCGGCAGTTGTGTCATGTTCTTAAATTGTTACATTTTCATAAATAAATATACCAGAAAAAGCATGCTGTGTTACAGAAATGTTTCGATAAGCATAAACGGTTCACATATCGTCTCGTCTCGGAGCCATTACCGTTATCAACCTAAGCACGATATGTCATATTACGTTCCCGTTTGAAACATCAAAATAAAGGTTATACTTCATTACTTATACAGTTTATAAGTATATATATTTACTTCTTCCTTCTACAGACAGCGTCAATGCTTGATAGTCTTCACATGTGCTTTCTCGAATCATATGTGTTTCACACGCCTAACACTCCTCAGACCGCAATCCAAGTTGCAAAAACGCTCAAACCCAGTGCTTGAATTTCACCACCACAACACTCGTAGAATGCACCGGAGATAAACATTTTGTTTTCAGCAATTATTTAAAGTATGGATTATTATTTGGAAAAGAGTATCAGAAGACTTTATGTAACCCACAGGTGAGTGTCAGAGATTCTACTTCCTATTTACGATAACAAAACTATATAGCGTTAGCATGCAAGACTGAATTATGCGCACGCACCCTGAACGGAAGTGGGTTCGTCATTTCGTTCTCTGGACAGAATTAATAAGCTGCTCAGCTCTCGCCAAGAGCGGCTTAACAACACTTGGTCGAACCATCTCAGGATCATTTTAGGCAAGTTTCAGCTCAATCCCACTGGTGGAACTTGAGAAGAAGTTTAAAATAGGTGTTGTTTAGGAAAACCATAATTGCTCAATCATGTTACAAAATGGCCGCCATGTTGAAGTTTTGACAGGGCTAAAAAATAACAACAATTTGTCGGCTTCCTTTCCTTAACATCCCCACCAATTTTTAGCTCAATGGCACCAGTGGAGAAGAAGTTTAAAATGTGTTTTTTAAGATGGTGGCCATGGCGGCCATCTTGGATTTTGGAACGACCCGAAAAATAACAACACTTGGTCAGGACCATTTCAGGATCATTTCAGGCAAGTTTCAAAGAAACAAGTTGGCTATAGTATAAACCAGCTTTCTCTTTGAATTTTTTGGTGTAGTTTTCATAGTTACCATGAGACTATGAATAGTACAGCAACTGAACAGTATAAAGTCGTGGCCGGATGTAGAATTTAGAGCATGCTAATAGTGAAGGCCTAGTTGAAATGTATAGCACTCAATAGAAGTGGTCTAGGATTAATTAAGGGAATGAACTACAAGTTTTACACAGTTGTACAGTTGCAGGATGCTGACTGCGGGTGTAGCCATTGTGTTGGTGTGAAGGTTGACTGCGAGTGTAGCAATTGTGTTGGTGTGATGGTTACCATACTTACCTTGGTGTATAAGTTGGTAGAATGCGTGTTGACCGTTGGTGCCAGGCTCTCCCCAGATTACCGGCCCGGTCTTATAGTCCACCTTTTGACCACTGCGTGTGATGTACTTTCCGTTGCTCTCCATGTCGCCTTGTTGGAAGTAGGCAGCAAACCTATGAAGATACTACAGCCACACAAACATTACGGACAGTTCACTGGACTGTAAACTACGTCATTACTAGGGACGTGTAAGTGTTTACGGGGCTATAAATGTCCCAATATTTAATGGTAACCACCTAAAAGTTGTAACTTACAAAGTTTGACAACACTTCTTTGACAGCACACTTTCATACATCTTTTTCATATAAAATTAAATAGATCAATTTTTTCATTTTTTTTATTTTTTAAGGTTTGAAAAGCATCTTTTTAACATTAATGAGGGTATGCAACACAGTTCTGTTCAAGCATATTCCATGATGCACGTTTATTGCTTTTATTGAATCATAACAACATTTTGAGTTGGTACTGTTATCTAGAGGCACTGCAACAATAATGTAAATATTACCAAATGAATAACACTTTATAAACAGTTGAAAATGTAAAATAATGGGTTTTTTTACAGAGAATTCTTCCACTTGAAAAATTGTAACCCATGGTACAAAGTAAGATTATTAAAGAAAACTAGAACACTGACAGGTCAGTAAGGGCCCCGTCTTGTGGCAATATATCCCCCATAATCATCAAGAAGCAATCTGCCCATGTTTGCTGGGCTAACAGAAATGTAAATACCAGTGCAATACTCATTTGTTAGCTTTGATTTTTTTTACTTCACCTTAAATACCACCCCATCAAGAGCCAGGGTCAAAGTCAGATATCCACTTTGTCTTTGACCTGTGGACCCAAATGACCTTGACCTTTAACCCAGTGACCCTGATCTTTGGTCAGTTGACTATTCTTTAATTCCGACCAACTTTGCTTCATCATATCATAACAAAATGTTCATCAGTAAAAAATACAAAACTTGACATTGACCTTGATCCTTTGGACCCCATAACCTGGACCTTTGGTCAGTTGACTCTGTGTTAAGTTCTGAACAACTTTGCTTCATAATAACATAACAAAATGTTCATCAGTAAAAAGATACAATATCTGACCTTGACATTGACCTTAAATCAGTTGACTCCTTATTAAATTCTGACCAACTTTGCTTCATATTTTTTAATGTTAAAATCCAAGACGGCTGATTAATAGCAGCCATTTTGAATCTGATCTGCCCGAAAAATTTACCAAGCAGAACAAGGATGCATGGGAAATCATCATGTAAAATTTTAAAAACATACTCCATTTACTTTCATCAATATTGTGCAAAAGAAAAAAACACGGACAGTCAGATGGACGGACGGACAACCTGATTACAAGGTCATTACTACCTGACAACCTGATTACTAGGACAACCTGATCATTATGGCACCGGCATCTTCGATGCGGGACCCTAATGAGGAGTATTCATATACCTGATCGTATGGCAGAAGTGTTTGTGTCTCAGCCTTGTAAAAGTTGGTGTACCATACTCCAATGAGGGCCAGGAGAATGGGGATCTATAAAAACATGTCAACAAGGTATATTAGTAATTTAGTCATCAAAGTAATTCAGGTCGGGCGTTCCTGAGGAAATAAAAATATTTGCCATTGAATTCAAATAGTGATAATTCACATGTCTTCATTTTAAAATAACTGGTGTTTATTCCTGTTTTTGATGTCAGCCCTTCCAAACGTAAAATGGACTGAAGACTTGAGTGAAAACATGACAGACAATTAAACTCTTCCCATCAGGATGAGATTTTCCCGTCAACATTTTAGAATCTTACATTTTCTTCCATAGGAGCATTGCAGAAATGGTTGTCCATGAAATGTCCGCCAGCCAATATCTCCTCAAAATTATCCATACCTATCAAACAGACAAAATATTGTCTGTGTAAATCATTTAAATGATAACAGGAGGCAAACAGAGCTGATTCCTCAAACGGAATTAATGATGTACACATTTCAATTCACACAAATAAATCTATATTTTTGAGCTTCAAACAACAAAAAGTCAAAATTATGATATACTATTATGAAACTGTATCTTATAATCCCTATATATTTTTCATATTGAACCTTGAACTGTGTCCCCTCACATAAAACAAAACTGAATCGCCTGCCACAGGGACAAAAATAGTAAGTTTCAGTGACATTGACTATAATACAAAATTACAGGTACAATACAATGTTTCCTCCACCAATTAGACACAACGGTTACTGTACTATTAACAGACCTGCTGCAGGTTCCTATAGACACTACCAGGGATCAATCTAGACTTGATTCTCTATGGCTAGTTTCCACTACAGAAGAAAATTCCCATGTGCTTCAAAATTCCCCTATTTCAACAAGAAAACAGCCTTTTTTTCTTCAAAATATTTCCCCTATATATGTTTTCTTCTAAGTTCAACAGTTAAAATGCATAATACTGCATATATACATTTTCTTCACATGATTTTAACAAACAATCTACAATTTTAAGCTTGAAATTGTTTATAAATTGAAATATACTGCACACATGTAAATCGGACAAAACATTATTCTTTTACCTTCATGACGCTAGAGCCTTGTTTCAAAATTTTAATTTCTCCAAAACCTGAAAAAGGGTAATTTCCCCTAAAACCTAGATTGATCCCGGACTACCTGAAGAAATTGTGTTCATATAGCTATGAACACAAGTGGAACACGGTCATTTTGGTGTATCTCCTCCTGCCTTAACTGACACCATCATCATTGTTTTATAGGTGATGTTTGTTCCAGGAATATCATTTGCACTGACATACAGACAGGTTCAATATAGAAAACATAACGGAATATCTATATTTAAATTTTTAGATTTTCATAAATTTACAAACTAGTAAATATAGTGGATATTTTAGATTTGATAAAGTGGTCTGATCAATGGCTGTTCAGATTCAGATTCCTAAAGAGTCAAGTGTGAGTTTCTGTTTCTACAAAACACAAGCCAGGAAAAGTCCACAATATCACCTTCTGGACAAGGCACGAATAGTTATCCAATATTTCTTTTTGAAATTAATATTTTTAAAAAGTTGACCAGGAAATTTGACAGAGGCTACATATTACTGAGTAAGACCAGACATAACTTGTATTAATTGGAATAAGTAACGTAGGGATCAGATCTAATAATATTTCATGTGCATTCTTATAGTGTGTAAACATAATTCCTATGACTGTGAAAATATTTACTTCTAAACCCACTCACCAATATTGAGGGCGATGGACAAGCCAATGGCCGACCACAGAGAGTAACGACCTCCAACCCACTGCAAAGATATAAATCAGAAATAGTTCAGAGAGATTACAGAATACCAAGAGGAAGTGTCTTTACAAAAGATACACAAATCAGATTCTAACTGGTATCAAATGTTGTATTTTAAACTTAAACTGTAACTTAAAGTTGAACCTGAGGAGCATCACACATATACTTACATCCCAGAATCCGAACATGTTCTCCTCGTCAATTCCGAATTCCTTTACCTTGGTCTGAAATAGACATCAATACACAACCGTAACCTGTCATTTACTTACGTTGTCACTGTCTAAATACACTACAATTACTGATATAAATATTACACAGAAACAAAGAGATATTATACAGAATCAAACTTTGCTTTTCGTTAAAAGAACTTCTTTAAATTAAAAAGTATCTGGAATCATAATTTTTTAAGATTTCACTTTTTATTTCTGTTCATAAATGTCTAGACAGTCAGTTTAAGTTTCTGTTTATAAATGTCGGCTGAGTTTGGTTTAACTTCAGAGAAGGCCATTCACAGGCATCACCTAGGTATTTCAGAAATTTAAAGTAATTTTTACTGAACATTTTGAAAGTAATAAGTGAACATCTACTTACAGCATTAGTTGACAGAGCCACAAAATGTTTTGCAACATATGCAGGCTGAAACAAAATTTACAAATAAACTGTTTACAGTGAACAACATGTATACATGGCATTAACATCCTAGAGAGGGGCTATCAGAAATACATCAGCCCTTCAATCAATTTTATCCCCACAGTTACAGTCAGATTGTCATTTCCTGAATTTTTCAATCAATATTCTTAAATGGTACGATATCTTACACATGCAGCAACAAAATGGGATTTGGACAAGGACCCTTCCAGATGTTGATCAGGTGACTTACATCTTTGGCCGCCTGTATCAACCAGTTCTTGGCTGTTGTAGCATTGGTGATGGTTTCTTGTGTAGTAAATGTCTGTAATAAGAGTGATACATTTGGAGATAAAGTACATCGCAGGAGACATTTATTTTTCTAAAACGTGCACATCATATTAAAACGTACAGATCATGAATTAATTAAAACGACAGATCATAGATTATAAAGTACACATGGTCACAGCTTGGAGTTTCTGAAGGTATGTTTATAAACAGAGGCCACACAGGCCTATATCAATCCCCTGTTTCCGTTTGGTGTTGGCAACATGTTGCATCTTTATAGACAGTCAAGGCCAAAACATTAACCAAGAGGCTAACACTTTGGGCAATTTTAGCGGGTAATATCACCCCGCAACCAAGTAAATGATGTTACTGGAAATCTATTTACACAATAATTCAGGTCATAGTTTAATACATGTATACCTAGGTCAGATGGATCACAGGAAAAAGGAGTTTGAAGAAAAATTTACCAGGATATGACAAGCAAAAGAGATGAATGAATACCATCTTACAAGCCAAACAAGCTTGCAAAACATGGATGAAGTGTTATAGCACAACATTATGGTATGCAACAAACACTAAGTATGTGTAATTTTGTTTGTTTACCTTTGACGCGATGATGAACAGGGTAGTTTCTGGGTTGAGATTCTGGAGTGTTTTGGCCATGTGCGTTCCGTCGATGTTCGACACGAAGTGGGCATTTGGGCCACACTGGTACTTCTTCAGTGCCTCTGTGGCCATCAAGGGTCCCTAGTAACATGCAGAAACAATACATCTTAATAATGACAATATGAATACTGTTCTGTATTAAACTTTTCTTCTTACTGCAAAAAAACCTACAGATTTTCCTAATTTTGTTCAATTTGATAAATCGTTGTAACAGTTAAAACAGTTTATTATTTTTTGGTTTGATAAAATCCCTTTAAACAACATCAGATAATCCTTTAAACAACATCAGATAATAACCCTTAAAACAACATCAGACAATAACCCTTTAAACAACACCAGACAATATCCCTTTAGACAACATCAGTCAATAACTCTTTAAACAACATCAGTAAATAACCCTTTAAACAATATCAGTCAATAACCCTTTAAACAACATCAGTCAATAACCCTTTAAACAACATCAGACAACAACCCTTAAGACAACACCAGTCAATAACCCTTTAAACAACATCAGACAACAACCATTAAAACAACATCAGACAACAACCATTAAAACAACATCAGACAATCATTTAGCACTGATGACGATACTTATTATCTAAAGGAAATTGGTTTGAAACTTAAAAGATTGTAATTAATACTTGGTTTACTGTACACTTAGCATATCTAGTCTTACTTGTTACTTACCAAGTCTGATCCACCGATACCAATGTTAACGATGTCTGTGATAGCCTTTCCAGTGTATCCTCTCCATTCTCCTTTACGAACTGCATCGGAGAACTGTCGCATGTGTTGTAAAACACCGTTCACATCTGGCATCACCTATTTACACACAGCTCAGGTATATAAATACATTCAAATTTGTTTTAATCTTTAGTGGGCCTACAAAGAAGTTTTGAATAAAGAATATAAGTATTATAAAAATAACAAGAAATGGAAATAAATTGCACTAGGCAAAAAACATTTTTTTTGAAAACTGAAACATTAATAACATTTACTGAAGAATTTCTGTTATACGGAAAGTTTCGTTTTTTTGTATGACAGATCTGAGAAGACATACATCTTTGCCGTCCACAAGAATTGGCTTGTTGGACCTGTTTCTCAGGGCGACGTGAAGGACAGCTCGGCTCTCTGTGAAGTTGATCTTCTTTCCACCAAACATGTCCGCCCTCATCTCCTCCACCTTTCGTTCCCGAGCCTGAAGTGATAACACAGTTCTGTAGTAAACCTCAGGGAACGGACCGAAGCCTTCATAACACAGTTCTGTAGTAAACCTCAGGGAACAGGAATGTTCAACAGTTTATTAATTGTAAAGTGAAGTGTCCTATTTGATGAATTTATAATTTTAAAATATCTATACAATTTATACTTCACGAAATTAAAAACTTATTAAAAAGACATAAAATTTCCGAACATCATTTTTTACTTTTTAGTTCACTTGTTTTATCTATATCTTTTTTTTATTGTATATATATATATTATTGTTCCTTTATTTTTTAATTTGAAAATACATCTTTCTGATAGCATTTTTGGGGAAATGTGGCCTAATATATAATTTAGAATTGCACCTTATTATAATGGGACTGATGATAAATCCCTGAAGTCCCATCATACCTGCAATACCATGAAGTATACAAGTACTTAGCTGTAATATCTAAGGTGTCTCTTTTTCATTACACACAATTTTCAAGATCCAATGGACCATTAATCCAGACATTTTTTTTTATCTTTCACTTGCAGTTATAAAATTTTACGAAACAGATTTAAATATGTCCATTAAGGATACCTGGTCATACTTATATATACATTAACAAGAACCTATTTCTAGGTATTATACAGATTTACAAACAGAATAATAGATTTTGAACCAGTAACCTACCAGAGCAAACAGCATCTGCATCACGTCTTCGTTGATGAGGTTTTTGGAGTAATCCAGTAGAAGGTCGCCATCCTTCGTTTTCAGTGGCGTGCTGTTAATACAGAATTATTTTTACTTCAAAATAAACCAGGTTCAAACCAGCTTTTTTGAGGATTGCTAACACAAAAGTGACAAAACATGTCTGACTCCCATACTGAATGATGTCTGACTCCCATACTGAATGATGTCCCACTCCCATACTGAATGATGTCCGACTCCCATACTGAATGATGTCTGACTCCCATACTGAATGATGTCCCACTCCCATACTGAATGATGTCCGACTCCCATACTGAATGATGTCTGACTCCAATACTGAATGATGTTCGACTCCCATACTGAATGATGTCTGACTCCCATACTGAATGATGTCCCACTCCCATACTGAATGATGTCTGACTCCCATACTGAATGATGTCCCACTCCCATACTGAATGATGTCCGACTCCCATACTGAATGATGTCCCACTCCCATACTGAATGATGTCTGACTCCCATACTGAATGATGTCCCACTCCCATACTGAATGATGTCCCACTCCCATACTGAATGATGTCCGACTCCCATACTGAATGATGTCCGACTCCCATACTGAATGATGTCCCACTCCCATACTGAATGATGTCCCACTCCCATACTGAATGATGTCCGACTCCCATACTGAATGATGTCCGACTCCCATACTGAATGATGTCCCACTCCCATACTGAATGATGTCCCACTCCCATACTGAATGATGTCCGACTCCCATACTGAATGATGTCCGACTCCCATACTGAATGATGTCCCACTCCCATACTGAATGATGTCCCACTCCCATACTGAATGATGTCCGACTCCCATACTGAATGATGTCCCACTCCCATACTGAATGATGTCCCACTCCCATACTGAATGATGTCCGACTCCCATACTGAATGATGTCCCACTCCCATACTGAATGATGTCCGACTCCCATACTGAATGATGTCCCACTCCCATACTGAATGATGTCCGACTCCCATACTGAATGATGTCCCACTCCCATACTGAATGATGTCCGACTCCCATACTGAATGATGCAAAACTGGGGTACAGTAAATAGGAAATATGGCCATCGATAAATGACAAATTAAAGCTCTACGGAAAACTGTGTTTGATGTAATTTTTCCCATGTATTTCATTTTCTATTAATAGTTAAAGGACGGGAGTTAATTAAATTTAAACCAATTTAGCCAAATTGTTTTCTGCGAGTTAACTTTCACCTGTCAAGGGGCAGCCAGCAGACTATTAGGGTAGTCAAGGGGCAGCCAGCACACTATTAGGGTAGTCAAGGGGCAGCCAGTACACTATTAGGGTAGTCAAGGGGCAGCCAGCACACTATTAGGGTATGATTATATCTATTTTATACTGATCACAATGACTGGACACTTTGAAAAAAATACATTTATGTGCATCTATTCTAGGTCAAACTCCTTTTTCAGGTTACATTTAGGCCAAAAGCAAACAAAGCATATGGGTGTTTTCGGTTTTCCTTGGCAGATTACAATCACAGTAAAAAAAAAAAGGTTTACCTACTGACTAATTTTTTCAAGCAGAAACAGGAAACACACATATTTTTATTTTGGCCTTGCATTAGTTTATTTGATAACACAGTCCTCATGAAGATTTTGTTTCAACCACCACGTAATGTGTACTGTATATAACAACCATGTCACAAGGTTTACTATCAATATCAAGACATTGACAGTCGATAGTTGGTATTTTATATCAGCACTACAAAAATCTTATATTTATACTGCTGAGTCAGGTCAGACTATCTCCCATCTCTAAGTTCTGTGAAAAATTAAGGTGGATCAGTTTTCAGGGGGTTGTTCGTGCACTGTTAACTGTGGAAACTTACCACTTACCTGAAATAACCTGTATACCTCAATATCGCATTTAAATACATCAGAAATAACTTGGTGTAACGTATAGCAACACTTTTATATTTACAATGTACACAGATACCACAGCTCAAGGATCCTAAGGCACACTGGTAATAGTACACATTGAGATGGAGGGAGGGAGGGAGGGGAGGGGGGGGGACCTTAGGCACACTGGTCATAGTACACATTGAGATGGAGGGAGGGGAGGGACCTAAGGCACACTGGTAATAGTACACATTGAGAGGGAGGGAGGGGGGGAGGGAGGGGGGGGGGGGGGGCACCTATGGTACACTGGTAATAGAACACATGGAGAGGGAGGGGGGGAGGGGGGGGAGGGGGGGGGGGGGGGCCCTTAGGCACACTGGGCATAGTACACATTGAAATGGAGGGAGGGGAGGGCCCTAGGGCACACTGGTAATAGTCCACATTGAGAGGGAGGGAAGGAGGGGAGGGGGGGACCTAAGGCCCACTGGTCATAGTACGCATTGAGAGGGAGGGAAGGAGGGGAGGAGGGCCCTAAGGCACACTGGTAATAGTACCCATTGAGAGGGGGGGAGGGAGGGTAGATGGGAATGGGGGACCTAAGGCACACTGGTAATAGAACACATGGAGAGGGAGGGGAGGAACCTAAGGCACACTGGGCATCGTACACATAGAGATGGAGGAGGGGAAGGGTCCTAAGGCACACTGGTAATAGAACACATGGAGGTGGGGGGGGGGAGGGGGGGGGGGGGGGCACCTATGGTACACTGGTAATAGAACACATGGAGGTGGGGGGGGGGAGGGGGGGGGGGGGGACCTTAGGCACGCTGGTCATAGTACACGTTGAGAGGGAGGGAGGGGAGGGACCTAAGGCACACTGGCCATAGTACACATTGAAATGGAGGGAGGGGAGGGCCCTAGGGCACACTGGTAATAGTACCCATTGAGAGGGGGGGAGGGAGGGGAGGGCCCTAGGGCACACTGGTAATAGAACACATGGAGAGGGAGGGAGGGGGGGAGGGGGGGGGGGGGGGCCCTTAGGCACACTGGGCATCGTACACATAGAGATGGAGGAGGGGAAGGGTCCTAAGGCACACTGGTAATAGTACCCATTGAGAGGGGGGGAGGGAGGGGAGGGCCCTAGGGCACACTGGTAATAGTACACATGGAGAGGGAGGGAGGGAGGGGGGCCTTTTTTAACATAAATAGTTGTTGTCCCTGTGGCATAAAGCACTATTGCAGATGATTTTTTTTCTTTTTTTTTTTTTTTCAAATTTTTACATTAGTATACAATACAGTTACAATATATATACATAACATGACATAACACAAACATATATAAAGACATACACACACTCATTCATTATCATACAAACATCCATACAATTATCAAAAAGGAAAGGAAGGATTGTTGAAAATTTTGATTACATTTTGAATTTCTAAGCTAGCTGTCAGTGTGAGCGTAATCAATATTTACATTTATTCAATACAACAAATATATTTATAAATTGATAAGTTACTTACTTATGGTAAATCAGTCGTAATTTCAAGTTTGGGTGTTTCAAAAAAAGTTTTGCCGTTTGGCCCATTCTCTTTGAAACTGGTCTAAGTAGCTTTCTCCCTTACTTCTAGCAATGTATTTTTGAGTTGTATATGTATCTTTTAGTGTATTTTTCAGGGCAATAATGCAGAGTTCGTTCCTGAGGCACCTTGATTTGTAGATATATTGTTTTATTGTAATGATGATCATATTATCCACTTTTCTGTTTATTCCATTCTGACGATATGTACCAAAAAGAAAAGATTTCTTATTAAATTCAAATGGAATGAACAGTGAATTCAACAAATTTTCTAAGTTAACAAGTAAAATTTGAACTTTTTCACAGTTCCATAGCGTATGCTCTATCGTTTCAATTTCTGTTTTACAAATGTTACAATAAGGGCTGTCTACTAACCCAACTTTAAATAAATACGAATTTGTTGTTAGAATATGGTGATTAACCCTAAATTGAAACCATTGCAATTTTGTATTTTTTGTTACAGAAAAAGGGAGTTTAAAAATCATTTTCCAATCACCTTCATCAAATTCAAATTGTTCATTCCATTTTTTTGTTCCACTTGCAATTATATCATTTTTACTAAGCACATTATAAAAATCTTTTGTACCTTTCTGTTTTTTAGCAAATATTTGTAATTTTCTTGGAATAAAAGGATAGTCTATTTTTGGATGGGTCAAGTTACACCGACTGCAAAGCTCCCTTATAGCTGTAACAATTCCGTGATATTGTAAGAAATTTGCTCTAACACCATATTTTTCTCTTAATTCAAAAAAACTGAAGAAGTTGTTGTTATCCTTTTTTAAGTCATTAACTACTACAACTCCCTTCCTATACCAATCCTTATAAAAAACACTATTATTATCTATTTTGATTTTTTCGTTTAACCATATAGGCATGTCGGAGATCTGTTTTGAATCTGTATATTTTTCCTCAAGAATAGTAAGATTTTTCCATGCAAGAAAGACATCTTTCCAGAAAAGATTTTTACAGTTATTATGACAAAAGGAAATATAGTCTGGTCCACAGTTTACAAGAAGGTTTTTATCAATATTTGAATTAAAAATAATTTGCCATGTTCCTGTTGTTGAGAGTAATCTTCTAATCCAAGTTAGTTTTAATGAGTCTATAAATGATTTAATATGAATCATTTTGAGACCACCATCAGAAAAGTTTTTAATAATTACATCTCTTTTAATTTTATCAATCTTACTATTCCAGAGGAAATTATATATTTCTGTATTTATCTTTTTGACAAATGTATTATCAGGATTTGGTAAAGCGATAAATAAGTGATTAAATTGAGAAATTAGGATAGACTTTATTATATTTATTCTCCCTATTGGTGTAAGTATTCTCCTACTCCAAGTCTTCATCAAAGCTTTAAGTTTTACTAGTTTTTTATCAAAATTTATTTTTGGAATACGATGTAGATCAACATGAAAATCAATACCCAGAAGTGTAAACCTTGTATGTCCCCACTGTAAATTCCATTCATTAGCCATAACCTCATCACTATATTTTTTACTCCCTATCCAAACTACTTCGGTTTTTCCCAAATTCATTTTTAATCCGGATATTTTTTCAAAGTATTTTAATTCTTTTAT